ATCAAAAATGATCCAGTTTGGCCCAAGAAAAGTATCATTTTAATCAGTTTCTTGGCTACGTCCATTTATTTATTCATCTTAACAAAGATGGTGACAGGAGATGACAATGTCAGTCTGGTTTTGTGTGAAAGCAGCTCGACTTTCACAAAAAGAAGCGAGAGATATGATGTCATTTCTTTTCACCAACTGTGCTTAACTGATAAAAAGTTGTTTTACCCAAGAAACTAACAAAAATTATATTTTTCTTGGATTAGAATAGATTATTTCGGAATCTGCTTCTATGAGGATTCAGGAAATACCTTCAACATTAGGGTGAGTGTTAGGAAATGACAGTACGGGATTAAAATGGTCAGAAAGTATCAATTTCACAGGTTACCAAAAGATTATCTCTGTGACTCTAGTGCATGTAGCACATGAGAGTCACAGACTGGGGCTATTCCCATTCTACCCATTCAAAACAAAAGAATGTTTAGATCTGAAAAACGAATTTGTTCAAGTTGGTTCTGAAGGAAGAATCTTGGTTAACGGCTTCATCTTGGTATGATTTATTGAGTCAATTGAAATTGTGAGATTTTTTATTAGTTTTGACCTTTTTAAAAATAAAATACCATCAATTCAGCAAACACTAAACATGAAGACCTACAGTTGAAAAGTATTTGAGCACTTACAGAGCACAGACTGGCATTTATTTGAGACATGTACACAGATACAAAAAAAGCACTTTCAAATCAAAACACATTTGAACATCCAAAAAAGATACACCAGGAAACAGTCAAGTCCTATTAAATTTCCTCCTGCTTCTCATTGTTGTTTGAAATACACACTGGCTCATCCTACACAGCAAGTCTTTACCTGTTATTCTGAGATGGATCGCATATAGTCTAGTCTGCACTTTGGTGGTAGAAGGACAGGTGTCAGAATTTGCCAGATGACACCACATGTCACTACACTGAGGTTCTCACCTCCGAAGACAGCTGTGTGTGTTCTGTTATTTTGTTGACCTCTGGTCCAGTGCATTTCTTATTAAAATACAGAGGCTATAAAAAATATTTTTTTCACTAGTTCAGCATTAATAACCCCTATATTTGTATATAGACCTATTCATAAATAATTTTAGATATAGATAAATAGATATTCTGTGTGTTACTTATAAACTTTCATAAAAGCATTTTTCTTCCAGTAATACAGGAGTAACTACAGTACAGTATAAAAGCTGAAATGCTTGAGGGCAGCTGTCTGACCCTGATGTCCGGTAGTCTGGGTGAAAGGTTGGGAGCGTACATGCAGACTGGCGCTGGTGTTGCTTGCCGACGTCCACTCTCACTGTGCCACTCTTTAACTCCGCTGGCACTCATTCTTACTGCAGGTGGCCTGACGCTCGATCTGCCATGTGCCCTCCTCGTATGTGCAGTAGCAGATTGTACACTCATCAATCTTCACCTCTCGGCCAGCTGGTATCACCGCTGTGTCTGCGTAGCAATTTGGCCCTGTATGTGGTATAAGAAAAACATAAAAAAGTACAGCAAAAACAGAAAATTGGCTTTGTGGAATATATATTTTTGGTGTGTTATGGTCACCATGTCACATTCCCAAAGCAGGCTTTGAATTCTGAAAATGCACAGTTTGCTCAGGTCAACCTAAATGAAACAAAATCTTGATCCTGTAATAGGTCAGTTAATGTTTTATTTGTTAATTGTTAAATTCTGAATTCTGCACAGATGCAAAGACCAGACGAATCATCCTTATGCTGATGTTGGAGTCATTTTAATGAAATACCTGTGTTGCTAGGTATGCACTCATCTGTGATATTTTTCTGCCACTAGACCCACCAAGGACACTGTTCAGTTTGTAAAAGTCCAGTTTAAGGACCAAATACGCAATTCAAAGTCACATTGCTTTGTGCTGCTTGTATAAGGATGCCAGCCAGTTTGAAATTCCACAAATTCACAAACACCTTTGTCAGTTTCAAGAACAACCGGTTATACTCTGCCATGGTGTTGAGAGAAAATGTACCTTGTTCTTTTCAGTCTATAAACCCCTGGTAAGTCACATTAAAAAAGAGGATGAGTAGTGCATTAATCAGGTTAAGTACTGTGTGAATCAGTGCATTGACCCCAACCAACAGAATTTGCAAACATTTTATTTCACACTCACTTAGAGCTAGATAACATGTTTGCCTTTATGTGCACTTAATGACCTGGGCCAGATCCAAGCCACTGAGTCTTAAAATATAGTATATGAACAGATTGGAGGCAGCTAGGTTGTTAAGATAAAGCGGGAGTATGTAACATCTGAGAGAAGAAAGAACAAATTAAGCACAGTTTCACAGTGGCTTGATTTTGTTCTGAAGTGTACCCCAAAGGACTTCTGTTTTATTATTTTGGAAACTGGATCTCACTAATGGACGTTTTAATGTTAGGTAGTAGGTGTTAAAAGATGTGCCTTGTAGGTGGCTCAGAGACATGCAACTAAATGCGATATTTTGGAGCTTCCTCGTATCTGCCAATGCGGTTAGCACCGAAATCCACCTGCCAATTCCACAGTGTGAAACATAAGTGTCCTCCTCACATCATCTACAGCATTATTTTCTTTGGTACAAGGTGATACAAGGAACGTGTCTCTGTTCTCAATCGGTGTCTGGGAAAAAGTGCTCATAAATCAACCCTTATCTCTTAAGCTACATGGCAAAATATAAACACAGAGGGAATTGATTCCACAACATCAGGAATAGCATAACAATGGCTATTTCCCTGTGACTAACAAGGTCTTGAGCCACTCTGTTGTATAATTAAGATGCTGATAAATGAGGAGTTGTTTAGCTGCACCCACCACAATACACTGAAGGCAGCACCCAGAAGGACTGTGCTGGAACATCAATCAATGTGAATGGTTTGCTGAGTCCCATCAAAATGTCGACTCTAACACATTTATAAGTGTGCAGATGAACACGCGCACAGCCTATTTGAATAACAACATCGTGTAGCCCAGGCTGCTGTTACTACTGATTCATCATCATTAGCAGCATTTAGAACACAGTGTGTCATATAAAAGACACATATGTCAAGGATATGCTAGGAGAGAAATATGTGCACTTTACAAAATAAATCAAAGTGCTTCCTCCTGGAGCTGGGATTAAACCATAGCTTCTCAGCCAGTCATTTACATCTGCATGACACTCATTTGTGTTAATTAATGCATAAATTTGGTGGCACTCCGCTTACTCATTGCTGTCACCCTATTATTCTGTCATTCATATCACACCCACCTTTTTGTCACTGCTTCATTAATATAATATATCCTCTTCTCTCCATCACCCTGTCTCTCTCTCCCTCTCACTTGCTGTAGCAGAAAAAGATTTTGTCATAGGCACACCAGGCTTCACAAGAGTTTCTCAACAGCACCCACAGAGGCAGAGACAAATGGACTGTGTGCATGTGTGTGAACAGTTGGACCCAAACTGTCACTACAGCATGTTAGAGGCTGGCATGTACAGTGTGTGAAAAAAGATAGCCATTAGCACCTGTGGCTTTTGGCTCTGTAGTAGTGTCAGATAATGGACAGAGAAACAAAGACATATCCTGATCATCACACCCCTTAATTCTGAAATGAAACCTGCAGAGTTCCATTATAAAGTAATGGAAGGAGAAGAATAACAGAAATCACTCATCTTAATGCATTTCATGAGTACATTTTCATTATAAATGCGGAATAAATTGCTTTGTAAAAACAGAAAATGGAAGAACTTTCCAGGAGAGACAACAACAATATGAATAATTTATTTCAGAGATGCTGCATGAAACGGGTTTGGACTTTTGAACCACCACATACTGTATAGCTCAAAACTGCAGACGCTGAGTTTTTATGGAAGTGCCACTTCATGTGAATGTTTGTTTGCGTATGTTGTCTTGTCTCCAGCTACTGTGCCCACTAATAATCTTTATGGCTGAACAACTCAGCTGCATAGGAAAAGCACAACTGTCATAAACGATGTCCTTCACAGGGATGAAGCCACAAACCCAGCCAGTCAGCACAGCGGTGTCTCGGTGACAGACTTTCAGACCTTCACATACTTAAACCTCATAAACATTAAAGCTCTGACGTCAAACTACAGGAATGTTTTGTTTAGCTTGTTAATCTCTTTGTCCATATTATGGAAAATGTATTTGGAAATGGCATTAACATCAGCTTTTTTTCCAAAGAAAATTCTGAATATAACTTCAAACAAGCAAACCAAAGCCCAAAACCATTCAGTAACTTGGCAGCACTTGAACTGTTAAGACACAATATGTCTAGCCATTACCTTAATTATAGTGACCTTTTTCTGTTGTTATCATATCTACAAAGTTTAGTGGTGAAAAATGACCTTTAGATAATAAAATATAGTGGTGTGATGAACCCATAAGGTGAAAGATGAAGAATAAAATTTTACCTTTTTGTGAATTTATTAGATAATGTAGGCTATTGCTACCCTTAAATGAATTCAGTATACACTTAAGCAAAAAGTGTATAATCAATTATCCAGTCATTGCTTAGCAACAGGCCTGTCAGGTTTGGGATATTTCCACATGTTAAAGAAGAGGAGAGTGTGTATTGAGGGTTTTGTGTTTTGTTAGCCTTTCCAAACCAAAAACACAAGAGCAAAGGAGTAAAGAATGCATTAAACATTGTATGACTTTATTTATTATTATGTCAGGTTACAGGTTATGTGTTAGTATATCAAAATTTAGAATAACATTAGCAGCTCTATCCTCCAAAAGCACTGTGTTGCAGACACCGAAGCATAATCATGAAACAATCTCAGTTAACCTGTGTTTTAGCAGTACATCATGTGTGTGACCATGATGTGAATACACAAGACTCAGTTGCAGATTTTTTTGTTTTAAAATGAATTATCTGTAAAGCTGGAGACAGATTTTTCAACCAACTCACAGACTTTTAGTATTAACATTAACTTTAATGGTACCTAGGTAGAGTTGGTGAAACTGGTGAGCAGAAGTTGTCACTTCAGCAAAGGAAATCAACACTTGTCATCCAGAAATATGTAGCGTGCCTTTGTTAATTTCTATGTAAAATCAAAAATCGACCCTTTCAAAAATGACTTTGAATTCATTCGGAAAGTATGTCACAGCTATCACTGTAGACTACATATTGTGTGAGACAGAAAACTTGGGCAGGCGTAGCCAGCGTTGTAGTTGAATCACTAAACTTTGAGTCCAAGTTGAGCCTTGAGACCCCAGTGTTCATGTCCAAGTTGAGTAAGAGTCGAGTCCTCGTTACCCAAGTCAGAGTCGTTAACATCAGCATTAAACACAACTGACACAGTTCTCACCATTTTATATTCTAAATTTTCTAACAATGTATTGCATCACCATATTGCTTAGCAATATGATACATAGGTAGAATTATCACTTTGCAGCTGTATGTTTCCACCAACCAGTCAAATTCACAGGTATGGGACAAAACTGAGGTCAATGACCTTGACCTTTGACCATCAAAATCTAATCACTTCATCACTGATTCCAAATGGACACTTGTGCCAAACTGAAAAAATTCCCCCAAGGCATTGCTGACATATCACGTTCACAAGAATGGGTCATACAGATGGATGGGCAACCCAAAAATATAATGCGTCCAGCTGTGGCTGTCATCGGCATGGAAGCATAAAAATCATTTATAGAAAGGCAGAGTGTAGCTTTGATGGAGGTGTGCCAGGTACAGCGTGATGTGGGTGAACAGGTTTTAATATCAGTGTCTTATGCCAAATTATTATGATCTATTACAAAATAAAAGTCCTTGTCTCTAACTTTTGAGTCGTCAACAGCAACTGACTAAGAGGTAGCAAGCTTACATTCAGGATTAGATGGAGGCTTATTATAATAGACAGACCACACAATTTTACATCCACATAAACAACGTCCTTTTCACTGGATTCTCACTTTCTTTCTTTGTTCTTTAAATAAACTGCCATGTCTTAAAAGGCTATGAATCATGCCTCTCTTAATTTAAAAGAGTCTCTGTCCCTCTTGGCAGCCAGGCTACCACATCTCATGTTGCTCTATTTGAAGTGATTTTGGCTCCAGTTCAGACTGTTTATCACATCCCCCCCAGATTAGTGCTGACCCTAATGTCTGAGTCTTGAAGAGCACCACTTGTTTCCTCACCCGTTGCCAAGGAGATACCCAGCAAGAGCAAAGGACAAGAGGGAGGGAGCCGTGGCTGAGGTGCTGAGGAGAGATGCTTGTCCTGCAATGTATTTTTGTTCCTAAGCATTCTTCAAAAGCAGATGCTGCGAATAGGAAAAGACTTAACTTAGAATTTACAACAAAGACTTCCATATCTTTTGCACCTCTGTCTCAAAGAAAATAAAAACACACTTCAAAAATACTGGCAGCAGGAAAACAAACTTAAGTATATAAAAGGTGTTCTCCCTCTTTGACTTGTATTGGCCAGGTGTTCTTTGTGAGAATCAATATTGTTTAATTAAACCTTAAGTGGTGAGAGTGAATGATAGTCCTCAACTTTAGAGGGTATGAAGCCATTTAATTGCAATGTGTTGCAGTGTTTTTTAGATAATACATAAAAATGATGAGAACCTGCCTTCATTCACAGCTGTTCTTTGATATTCATAAACAACTGTCCAGGCTGGATGTTAGTGATACCTCTCACTTTCATCTTCCTCCCCTGGCTCTCCCCCAAGTGTCTCCTCGCATATGGGCTGAATAACACATCTCAGGCAGGGTGCTCTGCCATAAGCATTGATTCTGTATGCCTGAAAAGGCCAAGATAATGCCTGTGCATAACTGATGGACTTATCAAACAGTGGAATGCTTCATTGTGATTTATATCAATAGCGAGGGAAAAAGGTAAAGAGGCAAAGGGCTGTTAGCTGATTAATGAGGGTAAAAGGATGATTGTTGAATGAGGAACCAAAGTTAGTTTTTTTTTTCTCCTCACAGATCTGAAGTTTCCATTTTTCATCTCATTTGTTCCATTTTCTCTCCTTTTCTGTGCCATTACACATCTGGATCATTACTGAAATTTTTTAAATTAATGAGTCGAGCTTTGATGTGACACTTTAGATGCATCAGAGATCCTGGGAGATCTGAACAACTGTCTGCACTTCAAACAACATCTGTAGACAAGATAAAGAACAGAACCAGAGGAGAAACTCTCTGATGACCTCTAATACCCTTATTTCACCTCATCAGTATTTCATCACCACTGCAGCGGCACTGTCTGGCGTTGAGTGTTGCATGATCAACAGTGGCAAGATGGACGTTAACAATTAATGACTCAGAATCAGCTCTATTGGCCAGGTGAATTGAACACATGAGGAGTTTGACTCCGCTACAGTGGCTCTCATTGTACATGTACATATACAGTACATATTCTTCTGTAGTGTAACATAACAAGTAGACAAGTAAACAAGATAAGACAGAGAGAGAAAAGGAATGTGCATTAGGAAAATTAAAATATCAGCATTATTTGAATCATGGCATGTGTAATACCATGCAAACCAGCATTATGAATGAAAGACAAGGTGAAATCCAATATACAATGAAATAAATTCAATACAAGCTTAAGAAAGTCAATGGTGACATTTAAACTAATGTCTAATTTACTTCTGGTAACATCTGCTTAATGTATCTTCCAATTATTTAACAAGGTATGAACAGTATGTGGTTCATTTCTTTACATGTTGTTTATTTGAAATGCTTCCTAGTATCAAGCCTTGCGTGAAATGAACTGCAAATGCAATGCGAGCAGGTGACAATTATGCCTTCAAAGAGGTGTGTTTTTGATGGATTATTTCCTGATAGAGATCTCTGTTTTCTCCCCGGTCGGTGGAAGGTGACCGTCAGTGTGCAGAGTCTGACACTCCCAGAGATGTTTGGTGATTGCGGAGAGTGTTTACACATCATGTTTACATGCTGTCAACTGTGCTAGTCCTGTTCATCAAATCAGAGCCAGAAATACTTCCTTTCCAATAAGATGTTGCTAAACACACACTGACACTGTTTAATGAACAGTGTGAGCTCTGATAGTCACAGCTATCCTGAACATGTGAAAACACCAGTAGGAGGCACAGAAATGTCAAAGGAAACTTAAATGATTGGCACAAACATAAAAATCTATTTATTTTTAACATAGAACTTGCACTTGCAGCAGCTTTAAAAACAGTACAGACTAACTTGTCCAGAAATGAGTCATAAATGCTGCCAAAGGCTGTTTCTGCAGCTTTATAAATGCCAGTGCTTTCACACTCTAAAAAACTGTGAAACTGAACTGACAGATGTTTTTTGACAATGTAGGAAAAGACTAATTTTATCCATAATGCCTTTCAGGTGTATGTTTCAAAGGAAATACTATGAGTAGGGGCACGGGTTGCCTGGGATACGTGCGTGTGCAGGTAAATGTTTAGACTAAAATTTGTGTGGGATTAATGTAGCCTATATTGCCTTACATAAAATGAAAGTAGAGTCAAAGTTTTGTCTAACTCTTCACATGCTACATGTTTGGATGTTTTCTAAAATTATTGTTCATGTTAAATTTAGTTAGATTTGTATTAACATAATGTTATGACATAAACATGATCCTAGTTATGATCCACAATCCCATTCGCAATATTTAGCTCATCAGAATAAAACAAGCTATGTTATTAGCATAACTCACAGCATGATAAGATGCCTTCATCATTTACATCTGAAGGCTTGAGAGCCTCCTCATCCCCAGTTCCTCTGAGTCCAGTGGTTTCAACCACAGTGACCTGTAGAATCCCACAGACCCCGCTGCGGCTCCATCTTTCAGTGACTGGCTCTGCTGTGGTGCTCTTGTTAATGTTAGTGCTAACATTATCTGTTGTAACTACTTTGGCTTCAGCAAAACTATATCCACAATTTTAAACACATTTTTTTTAAACCTGTGAACAAATTGTGCTCTTGTAAAATGATAATCTGGACCAATGATGTTCACAAATTCAAATAAAAAGATTAGTAAATTTGCTGCAACTCCATTTTGCACCTCTGAATGTTGTCTTCTGCATAACAACAGCGGCCGAGGCTCATGGGTATTATTTAGATGTATCCATCATGACCACTAAAACAAGACTAAATGATTCGAACTAACATGGATCCAATATTTCTCTGTTGAGGTACATTCAGAATATCATTAAAAGAAAAAACTGAAATGAGAATGTACACTTGGGAAAACTTACAGAATCTACCACCACTAGAAAAACCAGCAGCTGCCCCCACCCTACAACTCTATTAAACTCTGTCTGCCTTTTATCTGACTGATGAAAGCTGACATCGTTCAAAGTACGTGCCCCCAGTTTATAGCACAGGTTTCAAAAGCTCCTCCAGAGAGAAGACATTAAACTGTTTTTACAAGCTGAGTACTACCTCCTCCTCAAGATGAGTAACCTGATGTTAATGTAAAATAAGTATAACCGCAGAATCCCAAAGGGCTACAATAATTCAAGTATTTCTAACTCAGACTGTGACAGTTTTGGTTGTGGTCAGAGAACTTAGCATCTTAGACATAAAGCTCTGTTTATTGAATGGTAATGTGTGGTAATCTTATGCTAATAGGGACTGATGCTATCTAAAACTAGAAATCCTTATCGGCTGAATAAGCCCATGGATTTGGTGGGGCTTTTCACTACGGATGAACATGCTCTTGAAGTGTGCCACATCTCTGCATGTACTATACTGTATCTACATCTGTCTCCTTGACTGATGTGCCTCTGAATGCAACCCAGCAAATCTACCAGGCATTTCAGTGGGGAAAATATGGAGCACTGCCCAAAACTCTGCACAAAGCACTCACAGCTTGATTAATATGTGCATATCTAAAAAGTGGGTGCACAGCAATAACAACAACAACAACAACAACAACAACAACAATAATAATAATAATAATAATAACAATAATAATTGGAAAAAAGGGCCAACATGTATTCCCAAAGATTACAGCAGGCATATATTACTAAAAGAGTAACACTCCATGACTCCCAATGTTTTCAGCTTGTTATCTCTGGAGGTTGTGAAACAGGCTTTTAATTTGAGTGGGGCAACTGTTGATTGATCACTAGTCACGAAAATTCATTATATGCAAATGCTATAATGCCATAGAGTAAAAAAAAAAAAAGATACATGAATAATCCTAATGTGATATTCTGGATGTAATTATAATTAAGTAGATGGTAGCTGAAAATGCAGGCTGTGAGCATTTGGTTTGTCTTAATATATATACTGTGTGTTGCATGTTTCTTGTGAGAATAAATCGACAGTATATGCAGGACAGGTGGTCTTGTAATTTCACTTGCACAATCTGTTATTTTGGAATTTAAAAATGTAAATGCTCAGTTTCAACAAAATTAAAATATCTTGCTGGCAGGTTTTCTGAAAATGATATTAACAGCACTGCTGTCTAAGAAGTGGCTCGTACAGACAAAGCATTTTTATGTGGTGCATACTGCATATCTTGGCTCTGTCATAGTGATGTTTTTCTCTTCATGCAGATTGCTTGCTCTTGTTTATAGCAAGCAGCATTACGATTCCAAGTCAGAGATACATATTGCAAGTCATCATTCTTTTTGCTGAAGGAAGCAACGTTGCTGACATTGCCATGTTGCATTAGAGTCACACACGAGAAAACAAGGGGAACATAATTTAGGACAGGCTGTCTGGAATTATTCAAAAACAACTTCAGATAATTGACTGTGAGCTACAGAATTTCTGCTCAGACAGGCCTCACCTCTCAAACCAGTGGGATCATAAACGCAAAACCCCTGGCAGCAAAAAGTGCAAGTGCACCTCAAATCTCTGTACCAGACAGTAGCGATGGACTGAGAATGCACGCTACAGCCTCCAGCAGATAAACAGAGTAATTATCTACAATTAGGTCTGAAAATGGCACATAAGCAAATGTTTTACATAAAAACAGGCCACGACTCATAAAACACGTTTTTTTGTGTAACATATACTATAGGGTGTGATATATATTCAATCTGATATGGCCATAGACTGCAAACATTGCAGTTCAGCATGCTGTGTGCTTTGTGTCAGTGAAATGAGTATCGCACCACCTTAGCCTCATAATTCCTATTGAGCAAAAAATATTTGACACTAGTCAGTTGTAGTGGAGCTTCTTGTCTCTCACTGCAAGAGCACCGGTTGTACTGGAATAAAGTGTTCACTACAGTGTCACTGAAGCAAATTGCCTCCACTCACCACTCTTGCAGATAGGACAGCACTGATCCGGCTCGTACTCTGGGTCCACACACTCTGTCTGGGGGCAGGCTGCCACAGAACACAGCACCTCTCCACTTGGCTCACATCGGCACTTCTCACATGGAGATACCTGGGTGGCACAGAAGAAATAGTGATTAACACCCAGTTGACACAAATACACAGACAGAAAAACAACAGAAAGAGACTTCTCTTAAACAATGTCTTCCTATCTTGTCTCTGTTGCTCTCAGTGTCTGTCTCGCTCTCCCTCTCTCTCTCTCTCTCTCTCTCTCTCTCTCTCTCTCTCTCTCTCTCTCTCCACTGTTCTGGTTTTATCTCTCAAACACACACGCATATGAATGCACACACAGAAAAACTCCTGCTTGTCTGACTTGTTTAGGAGTGTGTGCGATCAGTGACACAAAGCTACATCGATAGGGAAGTCTCATCCGACTCAGCTTCACTGCCATTGAAAGCTTAATTTTAGGGAGAGCTGAGTTGAGAATTGAAACTCACTTTTCAATCAGGGGATATGGACAAATCAATATGAATAGGAAACAAATGAAAGATGCTTCCAATTATCTTTGCATGTGAACAGTTAGAAATGACTTGGTTATCCAAGTGTTCCTGTATGTCCTGAGCTACAACAAATGTGGGACAAAGGTTAGGGCTGATAAAATTTGAATAACATCAAGCTCCTACATTCCCTGTGAAAGGCGTCATTTAGCAGCAGCCTGTATCAAGCTGCACACCTTTCATCTACCAAGAGAGCAAAGGTTAATTCTATCAGCAATGCTGTAGATTGCAGAGGCTTGTGCCTCCGCATGGCACTCCACAGTGAAAAATGGAGCGAGGGAGCTCTTAGTCCAGTGCCCTAGAACTTAGCAATCAAGCATAAAAACCTGCCTGCTTCCTAGTTTCAAAGCTTTCTGTAGATTTCCCTCAGCAGGGACATGACACCAAGCTGTCTGTAACACTGTGAGTTAGAGGAAGAAAATTCCATATTAGCCTTAACCTCCTGTTGAAACACTCGCCAACATAATGGGAATCATTAGGCGCTGGTAAATATAGTGTCTCCTAAGAAACATAATGCCAACATTGTGGTGCAAACCTGAATCTTCCAAACAAGTGTCAGAAGATAAACCATTAAAGATCTCACTAGTTTCTATGTTTCTTTTATTTCTATGTTTCTCCATAAACACCCACAGAGAGCGGCGTGCTCTGCAGAGTTGTATCATTACTATAACTGTAACTTCATCATGTACATCAACACATTGAAAACACTCTGCTGAAGCTGCTTGCTAAATCCAGCCTCTAGTAATATTCTGGTGTTGTGTAAGAAAAAAAGACAAGTGCTGACCTTTGCCATTATAAATGTGCCTACCTGCTTGCTTGTATGCTGCGAGGCAAGGTAACTAGTTTCTGTGTAGTGCCAGTGATAAACTCAACTGAATGTGAGGAGTGTTCTGTCAGCACTTCTTTCAGGTTTGAGCATGTCAGAAACGAGGGAATGCAGTTAATGGTCTCACCTTAAACTCTTCTAGTGAGGCATAGATCTTGCCCCGAAACTCGCAGTAGTTCTTTTTCTCCCTGCACTGAGGGCAGCATTGGCTAGTGTCAACTTTAATGCAGCGAGGGTGAACCTTGGGGCATTCTGGCTTGGTGCACAGAGGCCCCTCATCTGTGCAGAGGCAAGGGCAAGTTGAAGGACCTGGGGTGAACTGCTCGCCAATGGCAAACACAAAGCCGCTCTCATCCATGCATCCTTTCCCCCTGTAGTCTGGATAGGCATACTCATCAAAGGAGTCCAGAGAGAGAGTGACGTCACTAGTGGGGCCCTCATCTATTTGGTTCCCACTGTCCTGTTCACTCCACAGGTCTTCGGACTTCCCGCCCTTAGATCCTCGTGTCTGGGAGTTGAGGTTTGGCCTGGCATGGCTCACGGCAGTCCTGTTGGGGCCTAAAGCATTGATTTCCTCTGGTCGCTGCTGAGCACCATATGCCAGCAGCTCCTCAGGGGGCTGTTTGTCCTGATGTTTGTCCTCCCTGGCTTGGGTCAACACCCTTTCCAGACGTTCTCGGCTCACTGGTAGGGTCGCTATAGGATTGCACTGAGTGCTACTCATCAGAAACCCAAGAACAAAGAGAACTTCTGCTGTCATGGCAACGGAGTGCAGCATCTCTCCCCACCACCAGTGAGGTGGGAAAACACCTTGGCTCACATAACACACTTCACATCTCAGGTGTGAGCCAGTCCATCTGCAAAGAGAAAATTAAACTGGGGTTATGTGCTCAGTATTTTGTCACGTTCTATCCCAGGTGTGGGGTTTGTACAGTTTAGCCTCTAGAACAGTGCAGGAAATTTGGCTTCAGAGCACTGCTCCTTCATGTCATACAGACATCCTGCTGAGTGTGGCACAAGCCTGTAGGACCAGTGAACTGGATCATCAGGATAGGGAATAATCATATGGTTGTGTTAGGAAATCGATACTGCTTCATACTGTTACACTTCCTTGCATCAATTGGTGCCAGCAAGGACAGAGTAAGAGGAAAATGGACAAAGACAGACCTGGATCTAACACTCTCAAGCTCCTGCTTCTTTTATGGTAAAAAGAATCAGGATCAATGTCTGCTTTTTTAAAATGAATTACAGTCAGCTGTACAAAAGAAAAGATTGATTTGAAAATAGAACATAATTCCAGGGAATTTACTATAGTTGATAGAAGTGACCATATCAATTTCAGAATAAAACCAGATCTGCTCCAGACTTTGCAAAAACCAGCATGTGCATCTACACTAAACATCTCATTGCTTTGTTTTAATCAAAAGTAATGGCACATTGCCTTTTGTTCAACTTCCTGGTGAGTCAACAGTCAACAGCTAAAGTCTGGTGAATACCATGATCAACTGCAGACATTGTGAAGAAAAGCTGCAGTCAATGTTTTTATTTTTATATTTAGTTTGACTTGATTTACTGCAGCATCTTGAAATTTAAATGTCTCCTATTTTGCTTTGCTGCATTCCATGGCCTACTTCCATTCATTTCCCTCATACCAAATATTCAGTGCTGTTGTTAAGCTCAGTTTAATGGGCTGCAGTTGACTGACATTCATGGCTTATTTTAAAAGGTGAGATTACTCAATATTGGCTGACTCAACAATTAACTGTAAAGTCCTGTGTGTGCTTGTTTAGGAACGGTTCACCGTATTGATTAATTTGTCAGTTGTTTCAATGAAAACTGTTAATTTCCAACAGAGCAATTAGGGGCACTAAACAAGAGGAGAAGAGCAACTAAGTATTAATT